TCCTGACCCAAACCATTCCCGACCCAAACCATTCCCAACCCAAACCATTCCTGACCCAAACCATTCCCAACCCAAACCATTCCTGACCCAAACCATTCCTGACCCAAACCATTCCTGACCCAAACCATTCCTGACCCAAACCATTCCTGACCCAAACCATTCCCAGCTCATCCATTCCCAGCTCAACATTCCTGACCCAAAGCACCACCCCGAGCCTGACCCCTCTGCAGGGCGGGTTCAGGGGCTGCAGCTGGACAAGGGAAAGTTCTCCCCAGTTCAGAATCAGACCTCGCACACCAAACACCTGTGGGGCTGTGCTCTCCAACTGGGATCCATTCCCTGTTCCCAACTGGGATCCATTCCCTGTTCCCTGGCTTCACCCAGGAGTGCTCCAGTTTTGGCAGGGATCTGCCTGAGCTCACAGCTCCCACATTCCCCAAAGGATTCCAGGGATCTGCTGAGCTCACAGCTCCCACATTCCCCAAAGGATTCCAGGGATCTGCTGAGCTCACAGCTCCCACATTCCCCAAAGGATTCCAGGGATCTGCTGAGCTCACAGCTCCCACATTCCCCAAAGGATTCCAGGGATCTGCTGAGCTCACAGCTCCCACATTCCCCAAAGGATTCCAGGGATCTGCTGAGCTCACAGCTCCCACATTCCCCAAAGGATTCCAGGGATCTGCTGAGCTCACAGCTCCCACATTCCCCAAAGGATTCCAGGGATCTGCTGAGCTCACAGCTCCCTCCTTCCCCAGGGATCCCCCTCCGGACTGGGGGTGAGCTCTGCCTGGAAGCAGCAGATGAACAGGGCCAGGAGAGGAGAGTGAGGGGAAGGGACAGGAGAAGGGAAGAGGCAGAAAAGTTGGGATTTGCTGCAGCCATGGAAATGCAGCATGGAAATGCATGGAAATGCATGGAAATGCAGCGTGGAAATGCATGGAAATGCATGGAAATGCAGCGTGGAAATGCAGCATAGAAATGCAGCGTGGAAATGCAGCATAGAAATGCAGCGTGGAAATGCAGCGTGGAAATGCAGCGTGGAAATGCAGCGTGGAAATGC